CGAGGTTTGGCTATGTCAAACATGCATACCAAAGTGATACGTAAGAGGCACTGAGTTATATTGCACCAAAAAATGCCGCTCAACTGAAAACTGAACTCAACCTCTAGTACCTCTAAACGACTCAACATCATCACAAGAATAAAAAGTTTATTTTGTTTGATTGATTTTTTAATTGTTATTATTGATTACTTTTTGTTTTTTTAATAAAGTGTTATTTTAATTACACATATATTTGCGTATTTCTTTCTCCCTGAATGTCAGTGTAGAATGGGATAAATTTTTTTTTTAATCAAACAAAGTTTCATAAAAAACTTGAAAAAATAATTATTTGATTTTTATATATTTAAATACAGCTCAATTTTTTCTACAACTTTAAAAAAAAAAATTAAAAATCCTTTTTCCGTAAAAAATAAATAATTAAACTCCTTAACTATTCTATTTGAACCCATTTTATTCTATACAATAGTTATAACATGTTTATGTTGTTTATAGCAATAGTTATTACATAATTATAACATGTCAGATTTTACCTGTTAATTTTTTATAAGAAAAAAACCAAATAAAAGTTAATTTAACTTATCTGTCAAATAATCAACTGTCTTTATCCATACCTGAAAATAGTTCCTAGGCGGTGAATGTCTGGTTCATTACCCGACAAGAAAGTATATGTGGCCATAGTGCTTACATGTGGGAAAAAAGTGTAAAACTATATTCCAGTTGATTTTGATATATATGCTGATGATCAGTGTGGCCCACATGTGGAACACATGCATCCACATAATTATTTCACTTAGTGTGGTATAATTCTTAAATAAATACGTGCTAAATTAGGTTTGGCTATCATATGGGCCATACATATAAAATATAAAATCTTGCCTCGTTTTGAATTTTAAATTTTAACTAATTGTCAACTACAATTCCATTGCAATGCATTGGAGTAAACTAGCATATTCCATGATATCATGTGGTTTACAGTTTTGATAATTTTCACTTCATAGTTGTAAGTATGTTTGAGCGGTTTTGTAATGAATATGTTTAAAGTTATTCAGAATAAACTTTCAATAAAATTTGTAAACCAGAGTTATACTTAACGAATAAAAATTTGTTGTTATACTTAACGAATAAAAATTTGTTGTTATACTTAACGAATAAAAATTTGTTGTTATACTTAACGAATTATTAACGAAAAATTAATATGCAAGTAGATAATAATAACATAATATTAGGTGAAAATGGTTATTAAATTAGTCACCATAAAAGCTTCAAACTAAAAAATGCAAATTTACTTTTAAAATAAAACATTTAAAACAAGTTATAAACTATAACATTTAATGAAAAGTGCTTCTAAAGTAAAATGTTCTTCATCTTCATCAAAATGTACTTCATCAAGGCAAAATATCATTTACAAGCTCAGTCAAAAATAATTTGTGGAAATATTGTTCTTTCAGTAAATTTTTGGTTGTAGTTTCTCACTCTGTAAATAGGTGCATATGTACTTTATGAATGACTCCAAATCATATTTAGCTATTTAACTACAAGTAATATTATGGAAGTGCTGGGAATACAATATAAATCTTAAGGTGAGTTTCCACTCATCCGTTTTTTCACGGGAACGGGATAGGAAAGGGAAAAATAATCACGTGAGCATGCGTAGTTTTCCTTCAGACATATTAAAACTTATACTACGCATGCCCACGTGATTATTTTTCCCGTCCCTTTCCCGTTCCCGTGAAAAAAACGGATGAGTGGAAACTCACCTTTACCAGCCTCTTTAAAGTAAAATGCAGGCCAAGGAAAAAGAATATTTTCTTGTGAAATAGGTGTTAAAGGAATAGTAATATCTTCAATGCCACTAAAAAAACTTCTTATCTCATCATATTCAACAGACTGGAGCTGTGTTTAATAAATAACTTTCTGTCACCTCTGACTTGTGTCTCTCTAAATTATATAAATAAGAAATTGTGAACCACTATGAAACCATAAACATGATCCAAGACAATATTTAATAGCATTAACCTAAATACAAGATATTACATTTTTCTTAAAATTTACTTGATCTAATTTATAGAGAACTCCATTATTCAACTCACCAGTAGAAGTGATAAATAATGATACAGTGTTTAAAATCATTCCCTTTAGAATAGTATATGGCATATTTTTAAAATTAAAATGTTTAATATTTTTAATTACTTGGAAACACTAGCAAAGACAAGGCCTCAACTTCCAGTTTTTGCTCATTTAGAATGGCAACAAATGCATCTTCATCGACATTACATCCATTCCATGTGATTCGACAAATGTTCCCACTTGTACTAGCAAATTTCTTTGAAACTAAAATAAAAATAAAACATAATTTTTCTTCAGGTCTGTCTCTTGTAGGCTCTAAACATATTTCAAATTTGTTTAAAAAGAGTTTTAAAAAAAAAAGTACTGTGGGGAACTTTAACAACAGAACTTGACAACCCCAATTAAAAGTAGCAACTTAAAATAAAACATGTAATAAAATATATATTTATGTGTATAAATAAAAATTTATTTTATTTTATGTTGAAATGTATCTGTTTAAATTGGGCATTCGCAGTCTGCTTTTAAAGTTACCTTATATAAACTTGATTAAGAATTAAAATAAAAATATTAAATAGCATACATATATACTTGCAAAAATTTTACATTATTCTTAGCAGCAATCTATAAACATAATTAAATGTGTATTTCAGAAATTTTTAAAAATAAATATGCATACGATTATTTAAAAAATCAATAATACTACTATTATTAGCGATAAAAAATTTTCGCTCACCAAGGTAACAATACAGCTTTGATCATTTTATCTTCTTATTTTTTATTTCTTTTCTAGTTACAATATAAATTATAAAAGTAATGGTGTTAAACCATGTTTTGTACAAATATTATTTTCTATGATAATAAGGCACGTTAACTAATATATTATATATTATATGATTTTATTTAGGGATTTATATATATACATATATACATATATATATATATATATATATATATATATATATATATATATATATATATATATATATATATATATATATATATATATATATATATATATATATATATATATATATATATATATATTATATATATTTTATATATATATTATATATATTTTATATATATTTTATATATATATATATTCGGAAAATGTATTTTCATGATAGGAATGTTTCACACGCCAGTCAGCAAAAATTAACTACAGTTATTGTTTTTTTAATTTTATCAATCAGTTTGACCACATAATCATCAAAAGTAAACAAAAATAGTTGTATTTTTTATTCATTCGGTGCAGTGAATGATAAAGAAGTGCTAGTGGTTTATTTTTTTCTATTTTATTATAAGTATATTAATTGTATTCTGTTTAAGAGTCGTTTTGCAAAAGAATGTGGCAATTTGAAATAGTTGAGTTCTTGGATTTTCATGAAATTTTCATGAAGAGCTCAATTATAGCTTCAAATCTATTGATAAAAACCGTGATTGAAATCAGAGGAAGTGTTGAATTTTTATGACCAAATGTAACAATGGGTACCAATACATGAAATAAAAAAATTGAGCTTGTGAAAAATATGTCTGCAACACATATTTTTCTGTTACTCAAAACTACTCCAGAGGCATTCAACAATTAAAATTCTGTACTTTGGAGCCTTTAGTAAATTTTTAATTGGGGTCTTTAGTTATATCTTTAGTTTAAAGAAAGAACATCGTATTTTATTCACTGGAAAAGATGGTCAAAAACTTTTAAAGCTCAAACTTAGTCTAAAAATTTAGATTTTTAGACTAAGTTTGAGCTTTAAAAGTTTTTGACCAAACTTAGATCACATTTAGATAATCCAGATGAAACATGATCTAAAATGCTTCTCACGTGAACTTTCTACAAATAGACAACATTTTGTATAGCCAACATTATTATCTTCAGTCGTGTCAAATATCAAATGATTTGTTTATTTTATGCAACTTTAAAACTCTCTTACCGATTCAAATAACACTCTGCCATTTATAAATTTCATGTAAATTTATGTTAAAAATTTGGGAATAAAATAAAATCTATTATTAAAAAACCTATTTAAAAATTGTTAATGAGCTGTTTTGCTCACTCTTAGTTATATTAAAAATTTACGAGCGTATCTTAAATATAGTTATATAAGTATTATATACTAATAAAATTATATAAATCATAAACTACGTAAGCGTCAAAAAATGCGTAATAAAATAAGTAAATTTCATATATTGTACAACTACCACAGATCAACAAAAATTGACAAAACTTTATTAGATAACATTTTATTTTGTATCAAAGGTCATTTTAAATGATTAAAACCTGCCATTTTAAATGATTAATATCTGCAAGTAAAAAAAAATATACTACATCAGCTCGTTGACGCATTGACCGTCATTTTAGTAAATAAAATATAATGTTCTATCTAAAAAACCTATAGCAATCTAATTTAATTCTAGATTAATCCAGTGCCGGATCAGGGGGGGGGGGGAGGCTAGGGAGGACTATATTCCCGGGCCCCGCAAATTTAGGGGTCCCCAAAAGTTTTACAGGACTTTTTTTTTTTTTTTTTTTTTTTAATAGTCATTTTTAGACTCTGGCCCATAAAAAGGCCTCTAGAAACAAAAATAGCCCCGGGCCCCAAGAAGTCTTAATCCGCCACTGGATTAATCAGAGACTTATTCCTCAAAAGTACAGATTTTGTGTTATTAAACGCCCATAGAGTAGTTTTGGGTAACAGGAAAAAGTGTGTTGCATTCATTATACAAACTCAAATTTTTTTTAAGAATTGATTTGAAGTTATCTCTGAAAATCTTAAATCCACGAACTTTACTATTTTAAGTTGCTGGTTTTACATCATATTTATAAAATACAGCTCTTAAGTCATTTTTTATTTCACAATTTTGCTATACCGTAGTTCCACATTAATAAATTTGCTTAAGCTTTTTACAATAGTGTATTTATTTCTCTAAAGGATATGAAAATACTTTTCATCGAGCATTTAATGTTAATGACGAAGAAATAAAAATTACAAATGGAGTAATAAATTCGTTGCAGCCAGTCGAACTTTACGCAGTTCAAAAGAAATCGGAATGTACACAACAACAACAAGTTGCGCATCAATCGAACAATGTTAGTTTTAATACATTTATTTATAATAACATGATTTCTGACGAAAATGGTTTAAATGATACGCGTCATTTAAATGAATGCGTTTTCGTTGAAGAGGAATTTGTAATAACCTCTTCAAATGATTATGATGAGCTTATAAATTAAAATTATATTTATTAAAACTTCCCTATCACAACTATATTTAAAAGTTCTAAGGTAATTAATTCTGATTGTAATTTGTTTTTATTTTTGTAAATGTATAAATTTTTAGTAATTTAAAAAATTTGTATGCTTGTTTTGAATAATTTAAATAAATGGAAACTCAAGTTTTCTTTCAAGAAAAAAGACAACTGATTCAATTCGGTTTAAAAATATTAATTTTACTTGGTCATTAATAATGAAAATTAATAATAACCAAATTTCAAATAAGTCAAGCAAACAACACAGGCAATTTGTTATGTAATGAGTCATTATATGACATATTTTTTTCTGTTTTATTTGATTTATTTGAAATTTGGTTTACATCGTTTTTAATTCTCTTTTTCTTTGTTTTAAAATTTTAAATATTTTAAATCTTTAAAAAAAAAATGTTCATTAAAAAGAGAAAAAAAAAATTTTTATTTTTAAATTGATTATAAAATGCATCGTCTCTATGGTCTTATTGTCTTTTAGGTTCGTTTTCGAAGAAAACAAATTAGTGGTATTATCCTACAATTTTAATTTTTTTAAAATATTATTTTTATCTTTAAATGAGAAACTATATTTGATAGTGTTAAGCTGAATATAAAAATTTTTATAATAAAAATCAGCAAAATAAAGCAAAAAACATGAATGTACAAGAACATAAATAACATAAGCAAATGTTGGGATTTAACTTTAAATTTTATAAGCATATAGCTAAATGGTTTGTCGAGAGTTTCTCAAAATACTAACCCAAAGTAAAATCGTAGGTATATACCTGTAACAAAGTAAAATCGCAATACCTGTAACATAAAGTACTTGAGGTAAGTAGAACTTTTAATTCCAAAATAAAAAACATTTTTATTTTATTCTATAACCAGTTTTTCAGCGTCGATGAAACTGTGAAAGTTTTAAATAAAAAGAGTAAATAGTTTCTGCAAATTTTCTAGTTTTAGAAATGTTCAAAAAATGCAAAACTAAGATAAGCAACTTAAAAAAATTATAAACTAAAAAAAAATCTCTTATTAAAATGCATCAAAACAAGCAAAATAATATTGAGTATCCTTATTAATCTTTTTCTCTTTGTTAAAATAGTATTGAGTATCCTTAATCTTTTTCTCTTTGTTAAAATAACTTTTTCCAATAATATTAGTCTTTTGACTTTTTTAAAACTCTTTTTAACTCGATAGTTTTTAGGTGTTTTTTGTTGTACTGTTGAGCACTAAGAATAAAGCAGTAACATAGCAAATATCCTAGCAATTGAAAAACATTAACAAGTTCTGATATATCGTTGAATTATATATATATATATATATATATATATATATATATATATATATATATATATATATATATATATATATATATATATATATATATATATATATATATATATATATATATGATGGTCTTATACCGATACGATACCATCAAACTTGTCTTACTAATGTTGAAAACTGAAATTGACAGTTCTGGTTGGCAAATCGTGTATTTTCCCTAATGTTTCCATAAATCAATTTTTATAAATTTTATTAAAAAGTTACTGGATAAATCTGTAAAAACTGAGTTACAGACATTTTACAGATAAGTGATAAGCAACAAAAGTAGAACAGAAATGAAACAAAGGTTTTATACGTTATCTTTAATGTTTAGCAGCTGATCTTTTTTAGATTTATTTGCAGTTATTTTTTACTTGATGCTTTTTAAAACAACTTTTTCCAGTAGATTGATATGAGACAAAAACCGGTAAAAATGGATTAAAAACCGTATTAATTATATGAAATATGAACTGTATTTTTTTTTTAATTTTTTGGACCTTTTTATAAAACTGCAAAACATACAAAAAAATGTTCCTTTTACATTATTTAGGATCATATTTGACAAATAAATTTTACACCACTATATAATTTGGCCATTCAAACGATACTCTCACGTGCTTAATACACAGGAGGGGGACGTTTAATAATTTTTAAAAAATTATTTCACCCGCCCCAAGCTTATAAAGACCAATACTAAACACATAAAAAACGAAGTTTTTTGCGTAACACAGAGAGGTATGCGTAAAAAGCAACCCCCTCACCTAACATTATATTTCTATTTTTTTAAGTCATGTGAAAATTTTTTCGAAACTAAATAGTTATATACCGTATCAATTGAGTATTTGTGGAAACTTTTTTTTTTGCAATAATTTAAAAGCAAATACCCCACAATAAAAAAATCTGTCGTTTAAATATTTTAATTTTTGTTTTAGGAGTCCAAGGAAAGTTTTCAAGCTCGGCCATTTAAAAGTTTTTTTAAAACAAAAAAAAATACTCATAAAATTAAATTTCATCCCGTAAGCGCAGTTTTTTTTTAATATTATTAAAATTGTATAATCTCAATATCAAAGTACATGCTTTATTTTAGAAAATTTAACAAATAAAAATAATCTTATATTTTAGGACTTTTTTTTAACTTTAAATATGACAGTTAAAAGTATTACAAAACATAATAAAAAGTTACCATAAATGGTTAAAGATCTTTTTTAGCCCAAGTTTCCCCACCATAGGTTTAACTTTTTTACAGTGTCTCGATATTGTAAAAGGTTTCTAATTAAAAATATCTTGCTTAAAGTTGCGCCAATTAAAGTTTAGCAGGTTTTAAACATAAAACTCGTTAGTCATTTTTAATTGTTCAAAGCACATTGTTGTTAAGTATAATTTCTAAATAATTAATTGCAATTACGGAAACTACAAAAAACATTAAAATATAATGTTATTCCACTTTATTAAGTAATGTGTTTTTTTATTTATGAACTTAAACTTATTTCAGCTAATTATCAATAATGTTTTTAATTATGTAAAGTACGAATCTTATTTAAAAACTTTAAAAAACTATAATTATATTTTTAACTTGAAATTTTCTTCTACCAATCACTATAAAAATAAAAAAATTACTTAAAAATTATTTCATGCTTTGGAAAACAACGTAATCAAATCAGTTACCGACCCTGATGCTTATAAAGTTACAAAGATCTCTGACATAGACTTCAGATTATTTTTTAAACAGTTTAACAAAAAATGGAATAAAGTAAACAGACAAAGAACACAAGGATTTGAGGTGCATTACAAAATCTAGTTAGAAAAAGAACTACAAACAAGCGATGCATGTTTTGAAACAGATAGACTACACCTTTTCAAGATGTAAATGAGAACATGAAAGTTGTAATTAAGAAGTCGTAATATGTAATTAAGAAACACAACATGTAATTGGAAAAAAACGTAAGATATAATTGAGAAATCATAATATGTAATTGAGAAATCGTAACTTGTAATTGAGAACACATAAATTAAAATAGCAAATTCACAGTCTAAGTTTGTAGGTTGTTACAAAAGGTCTTTTTGGACATGAATTTAAGTTATAATCTTAAATTTTGCTTTTGTATGCACAAGTAATAATAATAGAATTGAAAGATCGTTGTGTTATATGCCAATACACTATGACCCGAAAGTCTGTGATTAAGCTAAATCCGTGTCAACATTTATGTCACCAAATTTGTTTACGTCCAGTTCTGGAACAACCAGATTCAAGTTGTCCGATTTATCGAAATGAAATACACACAACTGAACAAGTTGAAAGGAAACGTTACGTTTTATCTTCTCCAAATGACAGGAGAAGAGTTGTTGAATGTGCGGAGCGATTTGAAGATTGGGTGAATCTCGCGCAAACGCTAGGTATCAAGTATAAGACAGCATACAATTGGGTTCGCAGCGGAAATTCAAATTTCATCGGAAAAGGAGGTTTTAAACCGAAAAAGTTGACCGAAGATCAAATTGAAGAAACATTAACATGGATTGAAAATGATTGTCAATTAACATTGGTGGCCATTAAAACAAAGATATTAAGACAATTTAACATAAACGTTAGCACAACAACAATAGCAAATTACCTCGAAGGCAGATTGTTCTCATTAAAAAAAGTGCACAAGGAGCCTTCTACAATGAACAGTTATGAAAACAAACAAAAAAGAGCTGAATATGTTAGAAACATCAACGAACATATCACAAATGGTCGTCAGATAGTTTGGTTGGATGAAACAAATTTTAACCTTTTTTGTAGAAAAACGCAAGGACGCGCGAGACAAGGAAAAAGAGCAATTATGAAAGTACCTGCTTCAAAAGGTTTAAACATACACTTGATCGCAGCTATTTCAACTACAAATGTCTTCATGATAGAAACTCGCAGGGGATCATTTAAAGCAGATTCCTGTAACGAGTGGATGTTGGCTATGTTTCACCAGTGGGTTACATCCGGGAATCGTTTGGAGGATTTGGTCGTCGTAACAGATAATGCTCCTTGTCACGCTCGTTTGCAAAGGGTGTTTGATAATTCACCAGCTCAGTTGTTACGTTTGGAACCTTACAGTCCAATGTTGAACCCGGTGGAAACGATCTGGTCCAAAATTAAAAGTAACGTTAAAAATGCAATTCGCATTCCACCTGTATTAGGTGACGGGATTGCGGAGAGCGCATGCAGTACTTAGAACGAATTGTAATTGAGGCGAAAAATACTATAATGGGAGGAGATTGTGCACGTGCGGTACAACACACAACCACGCACTATGCAACTATTTTAAATATGGAAGACGTACAAGTTGGTGCTTAAATGATCAATGAAGTGATTTTTAATTATATAATTTTTAATTATAATTTTTAATTGAATTATAAATTTTTCCCTAAAATGTTTTTAGTGTTTATTATGTTAAATTCATTTGCCCAAAAATTATAAATTTTTCCCTAAATTTTTCCCTAAAAAATTAAATTTACGCTACAAATTTTGCGTCATTTTTAAGTGCGTCATTTTATACGCTCCATTTTTTTACGCGCCATTTTTTTTAAGCGCCATTTTACACTTACTCCTTTAAAGCGATATCTAAATTAAAATTTTCGTGTTCTCAATTACATCTTTCTATTTCTTAATTACAACTTACATTTTCTCAATTACATGTTACGATTCTTAATTACAATTTTCGTTTTCTAAATTACATCTTATGTTTCTTAATTACAACTTACGTTTTCTCAATTACATCTTACGTTTCGTAATTACAACTTTTGTTTTCTCAATTACATCTTA